ATTTTCATTGCTACTTCATAACTGTAATTTCGCTACTGTTATGAATCGTAATGTAAATATTTGACAGTCAGGATGTCTGCTATAGCAACCAAAGGGGTCACGGTCCACAGGTTGGGAACCACTGCTCTAATGAGGATAACAACTGAAAAAAAAAACCAACAACAAACCCGGTTTCTAAGAAGACCAGGGGGCTTGCTACGTAAGTGAAGCTCGCAGCTTGCCAGCCTGTCTCTTCACCCCATTTCTAAGTTGCCTGCTACATATCGAGTTAGAGCAGGGCCTTACGTGTGTGGCTCGGGGCACAGGGGCCTGGGTGTGTGCCTCAGCTTTTGTGCCTGTCAGCAGCACGGTCTCGGACAGGTGACTGCTGTCTCAGCCTCATTTCCTTCAGTGGTAAAATGGGGACAGTGGGACTCACGTGTCCACAGAAGCCCACCATCATGCTGAGACCAGAAGTCCTCTCGTGGTCCTGATTTTACAGTCCCGCCATTTTGCAGTTAAGGGACATGACGTCTGTGGTTCAGTGATGAGTCAGCAGCAGCTTGGGGAAGTAGCAGCAGGGTGGCCCCCTGCCTCTCAGTGTGGAATCCTCCACTCTGCCTAATTTTCCCTTAAAGAAAACATCTTCCTTTCCATTCCCGTTTCTTTTTTTTAAGTTGTCCACCTTTTTTTAAAGTCATCTCTTCAGCCCCTTGTGCATTTCTCTAGACAACTATTTTACAATGATTTTACAGAATCTCTGTGGGACTGTGCTGACAGTCTATCAGAATCTTCACTTTCATTGTCTTGATATCTGAGATGTACCAGAATCAACAGGGCCTGCCTGATTACTCTCTCTCCATCCTTTCCAAAAAATACATGCTGAACATCATCTGATTTTGGTCCTGGAGGCGTGAAGTTGGATGGTCTGGGATCCTTCTTTAAAAAGCCACTGTGTCCTAGAAAAGACAAAATGTGCAGGGGAAGGCCACAAATATGAATAGAATTATACACTATTAGTTCTGTCTATGCAGTCATCTAATGCTTGTGACAGGAAAACACATGTGAATCTTCAGAGGATTTACTAGTGTGTTCAGTCTGAGAACATGAGAGGCTGAGGTGAGGAGGAAGCACATTCTGGGAGAGGGAATAATGTCTGCAAGCCCCTCCAGCCACATTTGGAGAGTGGTTTCTGTTCCTTTTTTTCTCTTTGCTCTTTTGGAGCGAAATATGCTCATGAGGGATTGCTCCAGATGAGCTGAGCAAAGTGGGTGGGGGTGAGGATGTAAGTGATGTCCAGAATGTTGGCCTGCACCCCACGGTAAGTAGGAAGTGATGGCCCACGGAGATCGCCATTTTTGTAAATAAGTAATGTCCTTATGGAAGGAGGTGGCTTTCGCAGGCAACTTGCAGCTTGCCCTGAAGGAAGAACAGCCAGACCATTAGGGATGAAAAGATGGCATCAGTGGGCTCTGAGAAGAGGCTGTGGAAGGTCGTACTAAGGCCTTTGCTGCAGCAGTCAAAGATTAGGTAAAACCTTGACCCACTTGAAGGCTGGTGGTTGGACATCTCAAAGTGTGTTATCTGTGTATCAAGGACGGGACAAGCTGGGCGTGGTGGTGCTCACCTTTGGTCGCAGCGCCCAGGAGGCAGAGGCAGGAGAATCTCTTGAGTGTGAGGCAGACTGGTCTGCAGAGTGAGTTCCAGGACAGCCAGGGATACACAGAGAAACTGTGTAGTCTCAAAAAAGCAAACAAATGCCAGGCGGCGGCGGTGGTGGCGGCGGCGGCGGCGGCGGCGTTGCACGACTTTAATTCCAGCACTCAGGAGCAGAGGCAGGCAGATGTCTGTGAGTTCGAGGCCAGCTTGGGCTACAGAGTGAGTTCCAGGAAAGGCTTCAAAGCTACACAGAGAAACCAAAAAAAAAAAAAAAAAAAAAGAGAAGCAAACAAACAAAAAATCAAAGTAGGGGCCGATTTGAAAAGAGAAAGATAAGGAGCTCTGGTTCAGGCATGCTGAGCACAAGGTAATTTTGGAACACTCAGATAAACACGTCCATCTGGCATCTGAGCATGTGGGCTCAGAGCTTAGGACATTTTGGTTTAGGAAGCACTGATGTATCAGGAGACCCCAGAAGTCAGAGAATCTTATTATTTTTTGTTATTGTTGCATGACATCTTTAGGCCATGATATTTAGAGAATATGGCAAGTAAAAATAAAATAAAAATTACTCACAATCATCGCTTTTTATATCTCCCCCCTCTTTTTTTTTTCCAAAACACATTAACACATAAATAAATGTTTCTTTCAGGGCATCTTAAACTCAATAAATCTTTCAGCCTTGCTACTGTACTCTTGTAGAAGGATGGTATAGCTAAGTGCCATTAATTGGTAGCTTAGAATGATAGAGATTTAGAGGACAGAAGTCCAGAAGTCTGCTGTCAGGTGCCAGCAGGTCAAGCTCCCTCTGAAGGTTCCAGGGAAAGGATCCTTTCTGGCTCACACCTCACATTTCTAGTGTTCTTTGGCACTTCCTGTTTCACGGGTTCCATTTTCTTCTTGTCTCTTCAAATGGTCTCCATTTGTCTGCTTCGGCATCCACACCCCTGCTCCCACCCCTCTTAAAATAAGGACACGAGCCTAGGAGCCTTTGGGCCCACCTTCACTTGATTCGCAGACACCCTGCTCTGAATAAGGTTAAGCTCATGGTCTCTTGGAACTAAATTTACCACACATCTTTTGGGGAGATGTTATTCACTTTACAACACGGTCGTGGGTCCTACAACCTGCAGTGTTGCCAAGAAATCTGGTCTGGGACCCCCGGTCATCTGTGTGGACACCTTTCGGAAGAGTAGAGAAGGGCCAGAGAGGGCGTCTGTCTTTCTTTTCTCTGGTCCAGCTTGACACTTTCTGGCTTCTTCAGTGTACTCAGAGGCTTCCAGCTAATGCCCCATCAAACCAGAGAGGGACAGCTGACCACGACAGGTGCTTCCCAAGACAGACAGACAGACCCTTGACAGAGAGGCCTGCCCAGCAGGAGAGGCTGGGGTTCTTGTCTGACCTGCTGAGTGCTTGTGCAGCTTCCAGGACAGAAACCTGGCTGCTCCTTCCGATTTCCTTCCCAAGTCCCGAAGTCTTAGCCTTTTCCTTCTCCTTTCCTCTACACGTGGGCGGCGCTTGGCTTCCCAGTGAGACCCTGTGCTCAGAAGTGCTTTATGGTTGGGGCTTAGTGGCTCGTGATTGTAGTCTTGAAATTTCTAATAATTTTACCAGGGTATGCTTTGTAAGTGAAACTTGATGAGACGATGGTGTGTTTGCCTCTTTCCCTGCTCCACAGGTTTTTCGTTTCCCACAGTCCACTCCTCTTCTGGCACCTGGAGACCTGCAGGACACTTCTCATTCCCACGTGCTGCCACCTGTCACCTCTGTCTCTGGTGGTTTCTGGGTGCAGGGAGAGTCAGAATCAGGGATGGATGCTCTGGAGTGTCAGGAGTGGGGTACTGCTCAGTGAGCAACCATGTGGGGTGAACCCCCCCTGAAAAAAGATAGTGCATGGAGGGTACAACCCGGCACCCTGTGACAAGAATAGGTTGGGAGGGAGAGATGCTAAGGGCCGTCACCCTGACCACAACCTTGCACTGTATCTTTCTCACTGCTTTTTTTTTTCTTTTTTGGAGACAGTCTTACTATGTAGCCCTGGCTAGCCTAAGGCTCAATTAGTAGACTGAGCTGGCCTCAAACTTATAGAGATCCACCTGCCTCTGCTCCCGGGTACTGAGTGCAAAGGTGTGAACCACCACACCCAGCTTCCATTGCACATTGTATGTTTCTTGACATATTTATGTTCTGAATAAATTAACTTGTTTTCAGGAAGAGACAATTACGTGCTAACCACCATTGTCTCATTATTCCCTGGTACAAAGTGGGCTTTTAGTTAATATTCTTTGAATTGTTGTTAAAATTTTAGATTAAGGGACTAGAGAGATGGCCAAGAGCACTGAGGACCCAGGTTCTGTTCCCAGCACCCACCCATCTGACCCAGGGAATCAGGTGTTGTATTGTGGACTCCCTTGGTACCAGGGACAAGTACACACTTACGTAGTTAAATACTTGATTTGATGAGATGGTTCATTAGGTAAAGATGCTTGCCACCATGCAGAGTCTGATGGCTTGAGCTCCACTTCTGGAACCCAAATGGTAGAGGGGGAGAGGTGACTACTACAAGTTGTCTTATGACCCCCATTTTTGTGCCATGTTGTACACATGCAGTGTACACACACACACACACACACACACACACACACACACACACACACACACACGCTTTTGCTTTTTAAAGACCACTATTTCTTTTGTTTGACATTCAAAACATTTCTACCTTTCTGACCTTACCTCTACCTCAAGTTCACTATTTTGTTGTCTGGCTTTTCCTGCTTGTCTGCCTCTATGCTCTGTGGCTTGTGCAGGGCTAGTCTCAGGGCTGCTTATTTAAACAGAGGCTGAATCCTTAGGCTTCTTGGTGGTGTGATTGGAAAGATTGTAAGTATTCTGGCTGTGTTTGGACCACCTCATGGGGAATATAGCTCAGATGACATTGTGCCCCAGATGCATGAGGCCACAGGGTCAATCCTCAATGTTGCAAAAAGAAACATTTCTTCTGCCTTTAGGGAGATTCTTATCTGTTATATCCAGCTAAAGGTGCAGTAATATAGCTAAAAGTTAAGTATGCACATATATAATCTAGTTTAATGCATATATTCACCAATTCACTGATACTGATAGGTCTTAAAAATTCAGATGCCCTAGGAGATGAGATATGGGCTGGTACAGGGAGGCTCTGGTGCACCAGGGTGGAGCACTGAGAACGCTGTAGGAGGTTAGTAGATAGGATATAGGAGTCATTTCTCTACATTTTTTCCTTAGAAATGCTTCTGATGTTAGTAAGAGCACTCCATAAACTACACTCCGTTTTTTTGAAAAGTCACCTAAGATGACTAATAATGTTTGTGCTTGTTTTTCAGAGACTGTGAATACAGCAGTATCATTTTCCTTCAGGGGAATATTATTTTCTAAGGTACTGTATAAGAAATGATTTGTGCTTTCTTAATCTTCTGTAGTAATATATTGTAAGAAAGGCAACATTCAGGCAGGCTGGTGCTGGAGGAGGAGCCAAGGGTTCTACATCTGGATTGGCAGGAAGTAGGAAGAGAGAGAGACAATGGACCTGGCTTGAGCATCTGAAACATCAAAGCCCACTCCCCGTGATGTACTTTCTCCAACAAGGCCACACCTCCTAATAGTGCCACTCCCTGGTGACTAAGCATTCAATCTATGAGTCTGTGAGGGCCATTCTTTTTTATTTTATTTTTTTATAATTTATTTTTATTTTATATGCATTGGTGTTTTGCTGTATTATACATAGACTGTGTGAGGGTGTCAGATCTTGGAGTTACAGACAGTTGTGAGCTGCCATGTGGGTGCTGGGACTTGAACCCAGGTCCTCTGGAAGAACAGTCAGTGCTCTTAACCACTGAGCCATCTCTCCAGTCCCATGTGAGGGCCATTCTTATTCAAACCACAGGTGGTAAGAATTGAAGCAAGCAATTCACCACTTTTAAGAACAGTCATTCAATGGAGACTGGGCATGTTCCGGGTAGTATGGCCACAGCCCTGAGTAGTTATCTAAATTAAGATGGTCAAGAGTTTTGGTTTTAGCTATTTTGTTATTTTTTATGCCGATTCTGGGGATTTGAACTCAGGAGCTCACACTCGTACAGCAAGTGCCCTTCCTTTCTGAGCCATCTCCTCTGGACTCTTGTAGGCTATTTTAAAGAAATTATAAAAATCCTCATTTTCTAATTGAGAAAGAAATGGACTCTCTGCTCACTGAATTAAAAGGCATGCAGTAAGAAGAGACCAGTAAGATGGCTGTGGATAAAGGTGCTTAACTTCCAAGATGAAGGGAATTCTCCTGCTGAGATTCACATGGCAGGAGGAGAGACTTGACTCTCATTAATTGTCCCCTGACCACCACCTGAATGATGTGGCATGTTCAGCCACCCCCCACCACCACACATGCACACACTCACACACAGGCATGCACATGCATGCACACATACACACATACATAATTTTAAAAGGCATGCAGATTTTTGTCTTACTGGAAAACTAAGAAAATGAAATTGGGCTTGGGAATTTAGCTCTGTGCTAGAATATTGACAGGCAGGCGTCAAGCTCTGGGTTTGATTCTTCTCACCACAAAATATTAACCAATTCAATTTCAATGTTACATACTGATAAGAAAAAGTTCTTGCCGGGCTCATGCCTTCAATCTCTCTTTTTTAAAAAAAGATTTATTTATTATATATACAGTGTTCTGTCTGCAGGTATGCTTGCAGGCCAGAAGAGGGCACCAGATCTCATTACAGATGGTTGTGAGCCACCATGTAGTTGCTGGGAATTGAACTCAGGACCCCTGGAAGAGCAGCCAGTGCTTTTAACCACTGAGCCATCTCTCCAGCCCCTTATGCCTTCAATCTCAACACTCAGGAGACAGAGGCTGATTGATCTCTGTGAGTTTGAGGACAGTCTGGGCTACATAGTGAGAGCCTGTCTCCAAAACAAAACAAAACAAAACAAGGAAAGAAAAGAAAAAAATGTTCTTACAGAGGCCTTTGAAATAGCTACACCTAACATTTTATATTGCTTGTCTTTATTATTCCTCATTTTAGGGCCAGTACAGATGTGTTGCAGAAGCCATTGCAGGGGATAATGAAGAGAAGCTATTTTGTTTGAATTTTACTGTCATTCACCACCCTAATGTCAATTAGAATAAATTGTGAATATATATGTATTTATTTTTGAAAAATGGTGTTCTGTCTTTCTTTAAAAAAACTTTCACATTTACTATTTATTTTAGCGTGTGTGTGTGTGTGTGTGTGTGTGTGTGTGTGTGTGTGTGTGTGTCCCTGGTTGGCCTGGAACTCTGTGTAGACCAGGCTGGTCTGGAACTCAGATCTGACTGCTTCTGTTTCCCAAGTGATGGAATTAAAGGTGTATACCCTGACGCCTCGCTGCTGCTGCTTGTCCTGCTCCTCCTGCTGTTTCTCCTTTTTCTGTTCCTCCTGCTCCCTCTACTCCTCCTCCTGTTCTTCCTCCTCCTGTTCCTCCTCCTCCTGCTCCTCCTCCTCCTGTTCCTCCTGCTCCTCCTCCTCCTGTTCTTCCTCCTCCTGTTCCTTCTGCTCCTGCTCTTCCTGCTCCTCCTCCTCTTCCTGCTCCCGCTCCTCCTCCTCTTCCTCCTTTTTCTTCTTTGAGTCAGGTTCTCACTGTGTAGCCTGTGGTGGCCTTGACTTGCTTACCTTTCTGCCCCAGCCTCTTTGGTGCTGAGATTACAAATCAGAAGTATTGCTTGTATTTTAAAGATCTTAGTGTCTATTTTAAGCAGATATTGGGAAATATAAGGACACAGATATAACATCAGGGAAGATTTTCATACTTATGGACCCCTAGAAACAGGTGGCATAATGTACCCCTCGGAACCACACCCTGGAGACTGGAGGAGAAGAGAAAAATGTGGACAAGAACATTTATTTTGTCTTCTGAGAAAGGGAAGGGAAGGCTTGGTAAGCAGGCTTTCCACGTACTAGTTCGGATAATTTCAGGAGGCTCCGAGGCTTTCCCTAGTTGTCTAGTCCTTAGTCTGGAGTGATTAGGGGTAAGCAGTGGTGTAGAGTATGAGATCCTTGTAGAGGACGCAGTGGCTCTCGATTGGCTGGTTTGCATAAAGAAGCTGAGTTCACAAATGAGCCATTCACTGTCCCTAAGGACTGAGAATCTTGGAAGGGGTGTTTCTTTCAGGGTCAGCGGGGACCCCCTCCCCCATGTAGTCCCCGACAACTGGCTTTGGATGGAAATTTCTGGAGGGATTGCTCTCTGGTCCCCATAGCTCAGGAATTTACTGGCTTGGTTTTTTAAGTTCGGAGGCTTTGAGAACTAGAGGTTGTTGGCATATACAGACAAAACATCCATATAGATAAAATTATCTAAACAGAAAACAACTAGAGGCTTTCAGGGTCAGATGCCTGCAGCCTGAGATAGAGGAGTCAGATGCTTATTTCATCGGGCCTGGGTACTGGGGTCCAGCTGCCCACAGCCATGTCACAGCTCCAGGGCTGTTTAAGGCTAGTGCCCCCTCGTCTTGCTCTCTGCTGCATCTCCTCAGTGTCTGTGCAAGTGAATCCCTTAGTGCCTCCCCCTTTCTGCTCCTGGATGCTTTATAGAGATCTTGACTACCTTCGTGCTGAAGCTGACAAGTATGTGTAGACGAATTTCTAAACAGTCTTATTAATAGAAAACACGGAGCCAGATATAGGGGTGAAAACCTGAGAGAGATCAGAGGAATAGGAACAGCCACACGCTAACCTCACCTCACCAATTCTGCAGCTTCCAAAAGTGATATACTTCTTGTCTCTCCATGCCTATATGCCTTGCTGTTCTGCCATCTGATGTGCTCTCTCTGTCCAGCTACATCACTTCCTCTTCCTGCCCAGCTCTGTCACTTCCTGTCTGTCTGTACAGACCTCCAGACCTCCATGGTTAACTAATGTTGGAATTTAAGGTATGTGCCACCATGCCTGGCTCTGTTCCCAGTGTGGCCTTGAACTCACATAGATCCAGACAGATCGCTGCCTCCCAACTGATAGGATTAAAGTTGTGTGCTTAACATTGCATTACTTTTGTGTTTACTTATAATGGCTGGCTTTTTCCTCTGATCTCCAGGCAAGTTTTATTTATTAGAGCACAAACAAAATATCACCACAGGTATGCGGCTAAAAGTCTTAGGAGCTTTTGTGCTCTTGGCACAAACCAGCTTAGCCCACTGTCTTAGGGTTTTTACTGCTGTGAAGAGACACCATGACCATGGCAATTCTTATAAAGGAAAACATTTAATTGGGGTGACTCACTTACAGTTTCAGAGGTTTAGGCCATTATCATGGCGGGGAGCATGGTGGCATGCAGGCAGACATGGTGCTGTAGTAGCTGAGAGTCCTCCATCTTGTAGGCAACAGGAAGTTGACTGAGACACTGGGCTGAGCATAGGAAACCTTAAAGCCCACAGGGAGCATGGCAGCATGCAGGCAGATGTGGTGCCAGAGAATTATGAGAGTCCAACATCTTGCAGGCAACAGGAAGTCGACTGACAGTCATACTGAGCAAAGCTTGAGCAAAAGAGACCTCAAAGCCCACACACAGTGACACACTTTCTCCAACAAGGCAATACCCACTAAACCAAAGCCACAGCTCCTAAAAATGCCACTCCCTATGAGACTATGGGGGCCAATTGCATTCAAACTACCACACCATAAGTTCATTATGTTCTATTCCTCTGGAGAATCCTGACTGATACACCTAGTGGGCCTGACAATTCAAGTTTGATCCCTGGAATGCACATAAAAAGTGGGATGTGAAGGTCCCAATATGAAGTAGAGAGATCCTGCCCCAAAAGATGGAAGGTGAGAACTGACTCCTAAAAGTTGTCTTCTGACCTCTGTCCCTCCCTCCAAATAAGTAATAAAAGAAAGAGGGGGAAAAGAGCATTTAGGAGAAGCATTTTATTGCATGGATAAATACCCAGGGGGTGGTACACAGAAGGGAAGTCTCTCAGAAGGATTGTATATAGACCACTTACTTATACAGTGAAGAGAGTATGGCATGATTGTGCACAGCATCACAACCTTGCATATGCATGGCTTCTAGGTCTAACAGTTGCAAGGCTTGCATGTGCACAGAATCATGAGCCTCCCATGTACACAGGTGTGGGTAGCCTTCTTCCTGTCAACTGGATTTTCATTGTCTCTAGAGGAAGTGCTTCTCTCTTACTAGGTGGGGCAGTTGCTACGTGGTCATCTGTGATTATCTGTCTGGAGGTCATCAGTACTTGTCTTGGGTGAAGCGAAGTTTTGTATAGCAGGTCCAAGCTGTGTACAGTGGGTGTGACTGGAGCCAAGCCTCTAGAAGCAGAAGTGCCTTCAGAAGAAGCAGCTGTGGTTGCAATGGTGTTCACAGCTGGACTGGAATTTCCCTGGGACATCTGTAAATTTTTCAGAGCAGCTAGACTCCCATGATGACAATGTAGATGGTTTCCACGGAAGGGGCTGGTTGATGGATTGCTTCCCATGCAAGGCAGTCAGGCACAGGTGTCTGTCAAATGCCGCACAGCCATGAGAGCTAAGCTCGGACAGCGTCCATCATTTAAAAAGGAAAACTTGAAAAGGAGATTATAACAAAAGGCTGTCCCGGAATTAACACTGCCTACAGTTCTTAGCAATGCTCAGCCCCTAATTACTCTTAATGACCCATGGGGCCCAGTTGAATGTCTCACTGTCAAAGCATCAGAAATACATAGTTTTAAAAAAGGACGTGATTTCTGGCTGGTAGTGGCACACACCTTTAATCCCAGCACTCAGGAGGCAGAGGTAGGTGAATCTCTGTGAGTTCAAAGCCAGTCTGGTCTACAGAGTGAGTTCCAGGAGAGCCAGGGCTACACAGAGAAACCCTGTTTTGAAACAAGCAAGCAAACAAATGAACAAACAAAGAAACAAAACCGAAGCAGGACATGATACTCTTTCTCATGGTTTTTGCACAAGTAGAGAAACTTTTTGAATTCATTGACATTTTTTTTTTTTTTTTTTTTTTTTTTTTTTTTTTTTTTTTTTTGGTTTTTCGAGACAGGGTTTCTCTGTGTAGCTTTGCACCTTTCCTGGAACTCACTTGGTAGTCCAGGCTGGCCTCGAACTCACAGAGATCCGCCTGGCTCTGCCTCCCGAGTGCTGGGATTAAAGGCGTGCGCCACCACCGCCCGGCTCATTGACATCTTTTATTTTCAGCCACTACTTTGGGACAGATCTATGTTGCTGCCCTTCTGTACTTCTCCGGATGCCTCCAGGGCTGAACTTCCTGCAACTTCACAGATACTTCTCAAGCTTTTCTCTGCAAAGCTCTGCTGCTGCTACAATGCAACCCCCAAAAAGGGAAAGGAAAAAGGAAAAGGCCCTCATTGTGGCTTCCCGTTCTTTTTGTCAGTCTTTGCCTGTCAGTCCTGCCTGCCTTTTTCCCTTCTCCAACTCTCACTCTCTGCTCTAGATGTGTCTCTCCAGGACCTTTGCATATTGTGCTGGCTAGTTATCTGTCAACAAGACACAAGCTAAAGTCATCTCAGAGGAAGTAACCTCAATTAAGAAAATGCCTCCGTAAGATCCTGGCTGTCGTCAAGCCTGTAGGACATTTTCTTAATTAGTAATTGATGAAATGGAAGTCCCAGTCCATTGTGAGTGGGGTCACCCCTGGGCTGGTGGCCCTGGGTTCTATAAGAAATCAAGTTGAGCAAGCCATGAAGAGCAAGCTAGTAAGCAGCACTCCTCCATGGCTCTGTATCAGCTCCTGCTTCCAGGTTCTTGCTCTGACCGAGTTCCTGCCCTGAATTCCTTTGATAATGAACTGTGATCTGGAAGCATAAGCTGAATAAGCCCTTTCCTCCCCAACTTGCTTTTGGTCATGGTGTTTCATCACAGTAATAGTAACCCTAGCTAAGACAATTTGGTACCAGGAGTGGGGTATCACTGTGACAGACCTGATCATGTTTGGGGGAGGATTGTGGAAGGGCTTTGGAACTTTGGGCTAGAAGAGCCATTGAGTGTTGAGAGCTCAGTGGACTATTCTGTCAGAGCTTTGAAGATAAGAATGTTGAGTGCAGGTGATGGAGGCCTGAATCATGAAGTTTCAGAGGGAAGCAAAGACTCTACTGGGCCATTTGTGTGAAGAATCTGTGGTGTCTGGTTAGGTGGGGGCTGAAGAGTCAGCTGT